GGACGAGCTCATGATATTCGGTCAGTTTGATCAATTCAATTTGTCGATATGGGCATATAGTTTGTTTTAATACCGATTATAATTGCACAATTTACTGACAGGACACGATGTTCCCAACTTAGAGAAAAAGGTAGTCTTAATCACGGGCTCGAGTTCAGGTATCGGCGCCTCAATAGCCATACTTATGGCCCGAAACGGTGCCCGAGTTGTGGTCAACGGTCTGGACGGTCGAGAAGTGCGTTCAGTGGCCGACGAGTGCGCGCGAGTATCGCCGTCGGGCTTATCGGCACTCGAAGTCGTCATAGACTTTCGCCGCGAGTCTGACACCAGGAAAGTCATTGACGCCACTATTGAGACCTTTGGACAGTTAGACATATTGGTCAACTGCGCCGGCTATGTGGTCACGGCTAACATAACAGACCCGGATTATATCGAGAAGCAAAAGGCTATGTTTGATGTGAACCTGAATGCAGTCATACTGTTGACACAATTAGCGGTCAAACATTTGGCAAAAACTAACGGCAATATCATTAGTATATCGAGTGTCGGGGCAATTATACCGGTAATAATATATTGCTTATATCTGTTATAAATTATGTATTTATTAGGGTATGACTGTATCGCCTTACTGCATGACAAAGTGTGCCATAAATATGTTTACTAAATGTATGACCCTCGAGTTGGCGACAAAAGGGATCCGGGTTAATGCAGTATGGTATGTTTCACATAGTAAACATATGAGAATTATCTATTGGATTAAATTATAAACTTTTTACTAAATTTTAAAATAATTTCAAAATCAGAAATATCTAGCTAGTTTAAAAACACAAACTCATTTAATTAGCCCACTGTTGGTCTATGCCATTGGCTGTTATGTTGACGTTTTGGGCAACAAATGTTCAAAATATAGACATCGATATAAAATATTTAAAGTTTAATTATGAAAACATTACAATCAATAGTCTATAATACAGAGATGTGCAACCGGATGTAATAAGCAAACATACTGTCTGAACACTATGATGCAAACACTTACATTTGACAAATTACATGACAACACACAATGTAGTCCGTCTTATGTCCATTTTATTTCCACAGAGTCGTGGAAGGGATGGCAACCAATTAGTAAACTGACTTACCAGGCTTGTCTCATTCATCTAACTGTTTATTATTACATGTTTTTCACAACGAGACAAATAGTTTACTTAACAGTGGGGACAGCGGTAAGTGGTTTAATAAATATTTATTTATTATTTTAAACTCAATTAATAGTATTTTTAAATCTAATTAATTTACTTCAATATTATTGCAGTTATTGGAGTACATATTGGGAGTGATTATCACATTTATTATCAGTTATTTCGGTTATGTTTTAATTGAGAGACCATTCATTCAAATTGCAAATGGATTCCTATAATTTAAAAATATGTTTGTTTTTGAACCTACTAATGTCAATTTTAAATCAAATTGTTTTATTTTAAAGTTTAAATGGTCCCAAACATTAAGCATAGAATTCAATGATATTTCCTAATTAGTCGGGAGCAATTATAAATTTAAAACAAAACAATTTTACTTAAATTTTATTAAGCAAATATTTAAAATATTTTATATTATTTGTATGTATGAAAAGGAATTTAATATTAATTTTCAAATTATAACTTTTAATTTTAAGTGATAGAGATTAATAAAATAACTAGTGTTGAATCAAATGCTTTAAAATGCAAAGTTGTTACAAGGCTAGTTGTAACTTTTATAGAATCACAATTATTGATCTAAACGAAAGTTATTTTTAAAATATATAATCATTGTCAAATTAAGTCTCACTCACTGTCTGTATTTATAAGACTATAACTAATAATTGTAATTCAATTCATTGTATCGAATAAAAGTTTAGATATTTATTCAAAGCTTATCAGTATTTGTAGCCATTTTAAAGCGTTTTATTTTATGAGTTAAGATATGTCTGTTTCGTATGACTTGTCGGGAAAGGTAGCCCTAATCACGGGCTCGAGTTCAGGCATCGGTGCGGCCACTGCTCGACTTCTGGCCAAAAGTGGAGCCTATGTTGTGATCACTGGTCGTAACGCCGAGAATGTGTGCAAAGCATCGAAACAGTGTTCAGATGTGTCGCCAAAACGTCTCAAACCTCTGGAAGTCGTGGCAGACGTTACCGAAGAGGAAGATCTCGACAGACTTCTCGACCAAACGATCAAGACTTTCGGCAAATTAGATATTCTCGTCAATAACGCCGGTATTTCAGGGAAGAAAAAAATATATGAATCCGATTGTCTGCAAAAGTATAAAGAGATTTTCGACACAAACCTCAATTCTGCGGTATATTTGACTCATAAATCAGTTGAATATTTGGCGAAAACGAAAGGAAATGTGATTAACATGTCGAGTGGGGCCGCCATTATACCAGTAATTGAGTTGATTTTATTGATTTCCTAATTTTATTTACTTGTTAGAGTTTTATTAAAGACATGATACTATATGAATCACCAGAGTGTAGACACGGCAGCCTACCATATGTCAAAGGCAGCGCTGGATATGTTTAGCCAATGTATGGCCGCAGAGTTGGGTCCCAAAGGAATTCGTATCAATTCTGTCGTGTAATTATTGATTTCAGTATTATTGGATATGTATGACTGGAAAGTAAAAAGGCCTCTAAATATTTTTTTAGTGTGCCTAATATTCATACGAATAGTTAGTAAGCAATGTGTAAGGGGAAAACCTACAAATAGACTCAAGCACAAAAAGAAATACAAGTGTATAAAACTTTGGAGGCCTTTTTACTTTCCAATCATACATATCATATATGAGAACGGATTAGTAAAAAGGGAGTTTCAATTTCTATAAGAATTGCATACAAACTGTGTGTACAGTAAATCATTAAAAGGTGTTTTGTTTAAAGTTTTACAGTTTTTATTGCCAATCTACGTATGTTTTAGTAATCGGTCCTCATATGTTATTTTCGCCATTTCTAGTATACTATACTGTTTAATATTATTGATATTAATATCTGTTTTATACTGAAATTGCAAATCACTGTCAAATTGTGGTGTTTTTGTAGGCCCGGCGTTGTTCGTAGGAACAGGTTTTCCGCCCTTCCGAATGAAGCACTGGAACAGGTATACAAGAATTTGGCCGTAAAATACCCGGCCGGTAGGGTTGGAGAGGGTGTGGACATTGCCAATGCTGTGGCATACCTGGCCAGCGACCAGGCTAGTTTCATTACCGGCACTTTAATGGTGGTCGATGGCGGACACATAGCCGGCAACGTTACTATCGATTAATGGAAGTTAAATAATGATTGAAAGCAAGTTTGAATAAACAAAATACTACTTGCTAGTTTTACAACATTTATTAATTATTTAATCAAGATTTTCTTAATAAAACATTGTTAAGGTTGTTATTAAAATTTGATAATTAAATCATTAGTTTATTTTTTACCCACATTTTTACGCAGTAAAAATGTGTTATAGTTTTGGTTTGGGCCACCCCTTACACCTTCCCTTATACGCATTTGCCCTCCCGCTCCCTCTGCGTGCGTACGTACTTTGTGAATGCTACCTAATGGGCTTTTATTAAAACAATTGAAAACATTAAAAGGTGTTTTTTATTTAAAATACCAGCAAACTTAAAATCAAAAACCTCATTTAATATCAAAGCAAACTTAATTATAAAGGTACTAATACTATGAAGCTCAATACAGGTTTTAACCTATGACCCTAGTATTGGTCAGTGATAATACAGTATGTGACATTTCAATGTGTTAAACCTGTTTTGTTTATAAGTTTGCTCTCATAGTATTAGTATAATTAGTATTATACCTGTATAATTAATCTACTTTGAAATTAAGTGAGGTTTTTGATTTTAAGCTTTCATATATTTTATTTATATTCAATTATTTTCAAAAAAAATTAATTAAAGTAAATTTATTCTTGGATATCATAAGATTATTCATGCTAAAAACTCTTTTAGCTTATATTTAATCTATATATTTAATCTAGCGCAAATATGTTTAATAAGAAACACATTTAATGAGGCCACCATCGATCAACATGCACGTGCCAGTTATAAATGTAGCATGCTCACTGGCCAGGTACACCACCGCATTGGCCACGTCCAATGGTTCACCGATTCGACCGATCGGGTACTTAACCGCCAAACGTTGTTTAAAAGCCTCGAGCCTGTCCCCGGTCACTTTAAATATTGCTTCAAAAGCGGGCGTATGAATTGTACCAAGACTAATTTTTAAAAGTTCATTGTTTAAGTTCAATACTTGTGTACATCTATGATATAGAGTCTATATTATAGCAGTTATGTGCATGCGAGCAAAAAGTGAGCAAATGTACACATAATGCAGCATCTACTGTATCGCTCATTGAATTGCCTATTAACAGACCCCTATGTCTTTAATGCCACAAATGACATATGACATGACATACCAGACATATTTTATGAGTTGTCTGCTCACAAAATAATATTAATTTAATTGACTCATTATTTATAATATTATTAATTTAAACAACAAAGTTAGACTTTAGTGACCATTTGTGGTCAGTTATGGTCATTATTTTAAAATTATGTTAAATTATTGTTGCATTCAACATAAATAGTTTCTATTATTAAAATAATTAAGTTGTGGTCAGTACTAGCATTGGTCAGTAATGGTCAGTATTAATGTAACTGATTATTATGATAGATATTTGCGATATATTAAATTTAAATAAAAAACATTTTTAAAAAATATTGACCACTATTGACCAATTCAAATACTGACCATTTAAAAACGCTTATGCTCAATTGGTTTTAGTTTATTATTAAACATTTATACAATGATATATTATGTGGAAATAAAATGGACATAAGATGGACTACATTGTATGTTGTCATGTAATTTGTCAAATGTAAGTGTTTGCATCATAGTGTTCAGACAGTATGTTTGCTTATTACATCCGGTTGCACATCTCTG